AATGGACCCAGTAGGGGTCCCCATCTTGGTGCTATGGGGGCAGGTAGCTCCAGGAACAGGGGGTGTTTTCCTGGGGACACTGCTGTCTGGAACACAAAGGGTCCAGCTGCTGAGAGACCCCTGGCTTCTGAGTGATGCTGTTTTATCAGCTGGGCCTGCAGGCCAGTGGGCCTGGCACACACAATACAGCGAGCAGCTGGCCTCGCCCCGGGTGTGACTGGCAGGATGGCATGGGTCAGGGCCAGGGGGTCAGGGCCAGTGAGATGCTCGAGATGCTCCTGGGGGATCTGGAGCAGAGGGGAGAAGTTTGCTTGCTCAGGGCTCACATCCCGCAGAGGGGGTTACTCAGGCTGACTCAGACCCAGGTGCTCATTTGCATGTTACTGTTTCAAACCAAAACAAGCAGGAATACCGGGAGCATCTTTCCAAACAGAACCAGCCCAGATCCTCTGAGTGCTCCTGCTGTTGTGCTGAGTCCCTCTGACCTAGAAATATTTCCCCTTTGGAGAACTCTACTCTGTCAGGACCACAGGGCATGTCTGTGCAATTGAGCTAGGGGAAAAAAAAGAAAAAACAAGTCAAAAAGCCAACCAGAACCACTCAGGAAGTTCATTCCTCTCTAAGAATGTAGAAGGGGGGGGGGGAGAAAATGTGGAATTCAGGGAAAAAATCTAAAAGCCAAACAAAAACACCACTCAGGAAGTTCACTCCTAAGAATTAAGGTAAGGTTTAATTTTAGGTTAACTGCTCCAGCACAGCCCTCATTGCTACTGAATGTAGGATTTTTGTTTCTCATCTATCTGCTCTAACCAGCACGCAGCCTAGGGGGACGGAACACGCTTGGCACCCCGGTGCCCAGAACTGTTCTGCCACACCCCAGGTGCTCAGTTAACACCTGAAATGACTGAAGGGCCATTGCAAACACTTTATCCCATCAAAACCTCACTGCTGTGAGCATTTGATAGTTTAGGACGAGGGTGATGCCGAGAAGTTAAGACACTTCCCCAAGGGGCATCAGCCCCAAGGCTTCAAGCTGAACGTGCTGCTTGCCATTCAAGAGTTCAGAATCCTCTCCTTCCTTGGTGACACGGACTCCGTCACCTCAACTCTGACAAGAACACCCAGATGACAACCGGCAGAGGTACTGGCTGACATCCAAATGTAAACAGCTGCCAAGGAGTTGCAAAGCTCTGAGGGCTGATGGCCCACTCTGTCCCCAGAAAGGTGGGTCTGTGGAAGCAGGCCAGCAAATAGTATGTCAGATGGGCCCAGCAGAGAGGGGTCTCACCGGGAGGCCATGAACTGTTTTGTGAACCAGGCACCCATGAGGGCGCTCAGAGCAGCCTGTCAGCCCGGACCCCACCTCCGGTATGACCCGTGACACGCTGCTGTCAGTTCTCCAGGTTGGTAGGAGGGCCAGCTACCGCCGTCAGTCAACCTCCGGGTCCTTCCAGCTTTTCCCGAGGAAATACTCTTGTTGAATGACTGATGGGGCCTCCCCGGTTCTGACTCCACTGATGGCTTACCTACTCTTCAAGGTGACTGACCATAGAAAAGGTCCAACAGTGCACTGCAGGAAGTCACCTTGCAACAGTCTGACCGACATGTCTGGGGAAGAGTCCCGTGTGGGCATCAGCTGTGTCTGAAAGGGCCCGGCTGGCTGGAGCCCCTGGGTGTGGGTGTGTAATATGTGCTACCTGTGGCCTCGATGTTGAAGTGTACCTTTCAGTTCTGTTTTCTGCAGCCAGACTGCCTGGGTTGAAAACTATAGAGAGAGGAATAGGAGGGAAGAGCAGTGAGAAATCTCTTTGGGGAGCAAACCCGCAGTGAAGACTGTCAGCCCCACTGCTGGTGATGTGGCAGTCTTAGAATCAGACAAGAAGCCAGGCCTCTGGGTCATTTCTTCAGTGAATGGCATGTCTAACTGGGAGGACACACCAAGGAAGGACTTTTAATTCTACTACTCAGTCGCTTATTTTAAAACAGAACAGGAAAAAAAAAATTCAATTCCCAACGCCTTGGCGAGTAGAGTAACCACCAACAAGAACAGCTGTTAACACGGCTCATGCTCATTCCTGCTAACTGTTACTCAAGTGAAAGGCCTGGCAGGGGAGAAATTCTGGCTGTTTAGCAAGGAGAGAAATTTCAGAGGTAGCCACCACAGATGGTAGCAGATGTCACGGAGCACAGAGCAGAAGCCACCAGGGACTTCACCATCTCAGAGCTAAGCAAAAAATCTGATAAATACTCAGCCAAGCCAGCTGCCAATTACACACCCCAGGAAGCGAGGGGAAGGAGGGGTAGGAGGGAATGTATAGAAGACGCTCTAATGGCAGGTTATTTTCTTCAGCCACTGGACTGTCAGCCCCTGACTTTACAAAGACCTCGGACACTGGCTTCAGGTAACTGCCCACACCAGAGCACATCAGCCAAAGGCACAACCACAGCATCGCCTCCTTGGAAGTGACCCTTTGCAGGGCTCTTGAAGCTGAGCAAGAAGCCAACTGCTCAATCCCTGCTGCTACTGTGCATGGTTACTAATGTGGGCTCCCGGGTCACACAGCATGGCATTCAATCTATTGCTCTACCACACCCGCTTCTTGATGTTGCTAGTTATTTGGCCACTCTGAACTTCAATCGCCTCTTCTGTTCTTCAGGGATAATGGTGTCTAATGGGCGTTGGGACAATTACGTCTGATTATGCATGCAAGGCCTTTGGCACAGTGCATTGCACACAGTAAATGCTCACAGAATGTTCATTGTCATCCTGTATCTCTCAATGGGGCCTTGGGGTAGCCCATGGTCTTGTATGTCCAGTAAATTTCTCTCATGATCATACCTACGTAGGGCTGTAGATAGTTGAAAGGTGTTGACAGTGGCCATTCTCAGGTATCTACAGTATTTTTTTACTAGCCTTTATGTTACTCAGTCAGAAAGCAAGCACTGCTTTATTCAACAGCAATACCTTTCCTTTTTGTCTAGAACTCAACTAACCCCTTATAAAGAAAATTAACTTGGTGATTTCCCTAATCAACATTTGGGAATATGTTGGGCTGGACACAGATTTACTGCAAGCATTTCCATTTTATGTATTTGTACCTTTAGATAGCAAATAACAATAGGTATGCAAAATAACAGCACAGCATGTAACACTTTCAATGAACCAAAGATGCTCTATTTTCCAGCTCAGGGGATGAGCTCATGTTATCTGTGAACTTGTCTATCATCCAAGCATTTTAATTACTTTGTGTGTGGTGGGTGATGGATGACCGATACAGAGAACTACTCAGAACACTGCACTGCCTAGAAACTGAGGACCCAAAAGGCAGGATCAGGAGGAGGCAAAGCCCAGACTGGGTCCCCACTCCCCCTTCACTAGCCATGACCTGGGGAAAGCTTGTGTGTCCATTTCATCCGTGTGTTCGGGAGTGTGATGCCCACAGAGGACCGTTCCAATGAGTTACACACTATGAAAAGTAAAGTGCTTTGTAAACATCCCAGCACCGAACAAGAGGACCCCCACGAAGGGCACAACTTCTGCCACGGGGTCCCCTCACTCTCCTGGCACTGGCCGTGTGCACCTGTCACCGTCTTTCTCACTCTGCAGCCCGATGGCATCTGCTTTGTCTTTAGCATTCTATCATACCTCCTCTTTCCACAGGCGAGGGTGCATTTCCCAGGACTCTAGAGACCGGCTGAATAATCCATCCTGCTCCCTCTCCCCCACTAGGATTTGAGGAACAACAAACCTACTGAATGAACAAGAGTGAGTTCTAAGGTAAACGATGCACTGTCAGTGTTCCTGTAGGCTCCTTATAGGGTCTCTGACAGTCACAAATGCATCCTTTGTGGGGCTGTTGACAGAGAGGCCCGGCATGTGAGGGGCAGGGGTACACAGGAAATCTGTACTTTCTGATCGTTTGCTGCAAACCTGTAACTGCTATATAAAAAGGGTCTGCCTTTAAAAATTGATTCCACACACACAAACACAGAAGTCTGCTATGGAGATGGGTTCTGATAAATGTGAAAAATTAAGAAATCTGGCTCTTTAATGTGAAAGCTAACATCAAGTGTTTATTTAAAAAAATAATGGCACCTGCTTTGAATGGAGTGAAGATCTACAGTGAATTTACAATTTTAGGCTGACATGAAACTACACAGTATTCCACAAAATGGAAATTCTGTCACAGATCTCACAGTAAACATTTCCAGTTTCTACTTTCAGAGTTGTTAACTTAAAAACCACCCAAAGGAGCTTAAACAGAGCACATTTTGTTGGAAAATTTCTCTTAGGACAAACACAGCAGATAGGCTTTAAATAAATTAGCACTGCAACACACAGATCATCCCCAAAAACAATCAAGGTACATTTCTTCCCAGTTTCTTATGAACAGAGAATTGTATAGACTTTAGACAATTAGTGTTTGTTCTGCTTTACATCTTACAGGTTAACAAACTCATGAACTTTACTATTTTTGTTTCAAATACTTTTGAAGTAAGTAGGTCGATCTCTTTCTTTCAGTGATTTATCTTTTGAAACAAATTCCTTCTTCAGCACATGGCTTAAACTTTTCCTTGAAATACCTCTTTTCTAAATAAAACCCTCAATTTAAAATAATACTGTCTTCCTTTTCTGATTCACTCCTCAAAATTATAAGTATGCAAAATAGGTTGTTTTATCATACACATTTATATTAGTAAGCATATTTAAATATTTTCCAAACCAATACAACTATACTTGCTTTCAATACAAAAGTATTCCTGGGCCCTCCCTGGTGGTGCAATGGGTTGAAACACAGCACTAGGAAGCTACTAGCTGTAGCTGCTTCAGTGCGCGTTCCATCCCCGCCCAGGAGGTGACCCATATGGCGTGGCAGACCCCTCCTGTCTCACCCACTGCTCCCCTCAGCAGTGTACTTCATCAATCAGCCCATTCTGCTCCCCACTCTGTCTCTGGTGAATCTTCTCACCGCCCCTGCACCTCTGGCCTGTACCCCAGTTCTGTATGCACAAATAAATAAATCTTTAAAAATCATACAATCCGAGTTGATGCAAAATAATTTGGTATTTAACATCCAGCCAAAAAATACAAAGGGAACCTACCCCTCATCACCTTTATTGGACTCATGAGGCCTGACAGGCTAGAAATAAGGCAAAGCCATGAGGGCAACAGTGCAATGAAAAGAAGTGACAAAGCAGAAGGGCGAATACCACACGGATGCTAACTGACAGCAAGGGACCATAACATTAAAAGGTCATGGGGTAGAGACTCAGAAGCTTTCACCCTGCAGTACAGTAATCATACAAGATAAACCACTAATAGTACATGCTGGAAGCTCGGACTCATCAGTCCAAAATCAACAACAAAGTGCTTTTAGTTACTGTTTCATTGTGGCTTTCAAATTTGGTGGGGAGGGAATTGGGGCGGGAAATATTTTGTTCTCGCTTAATCATACTCAAAATACAAGCTGGAAATCCCACAGAAGAGCAATTTTAAAGTTTCTGTTTTGTTCTCAGCAAATTCTCATTATCCTGGTAGGTACAAAAGCAATGCCACCCATAGAATCCAGAGCTAGAATCAAACATTCTATCTCTCAGTAACAGTTGTTTTTCCCCTTCAGATATGAACAAGGTGTTTACTATTGGGGGTGGGGGAGGTTTAGCTGACTTACATATAAGTCAAAAATCTGATGCTAGGACATATTATAGCTGGACCTATTTTTAATGGAATATTTATAAACTTCTTTTTAACTTCCTTATGTAGCAAAGGGTTTCTTCCTTAGAAAAAGGATAAACTGCTGAGTCAAAGTCTCCTCAGACTTATTTAAAAGCTTCATCAACTTTCAACAAGACTCTAAATGTGCCACGTAGGCTGAGTGTATCAAAGTGAAAATAGCTATTCAACATCTAATGAGAATCACTAGAAATCTGAGTTCTTTGAATTTATGATCAGGTGGCATGATGTAGGTCCTTACCATATTCATCACAGAGACAGTTTCTAGCAGTTTCTGTGGACAGCTACAGACTGGCGCGGGAGAGCTTTGCTTTTTCCATTTTCTTCTCTACTTCTCCACCTGGGAAGAAGACACTGATCACTAGTCTGGGATGTCTAACAAAGGCTGAGCAAAGGGGTGAGGTGTGGTGACATGAGGAATAGGGAGCAGCCTCGCCGTGCCCCAGAGCTTGACCTTGAGGGCTAGTGCTCACTCATTCTCTCCACTAACAGCACCTTCGCCCGCCTGACTTCTGGCATGTCCAAGCTACCTGAGAAGACTCACAGAGACCAAGAGGAGCCAACCCACACCCTGATGGACACAGGGTATACTTTACAACCAGTCCCAGCTCACGTGGAGGCTGTGGTCAAGGGGACAAGGGGAACAGGTCAAGCTGGCTGTGACAACAGGGAGTCACAGGGAAGCATACCTTCCACCCTCTCCTCTGGACCCCATTTCTGTCCCCTGGATTTGATGGATCACAGTGTATTTGTAGGCACATTGAGAGACCAAGGTGGGGCGGGGTCTGACAACCATGAGAAAGAGGGTGGGACTGTAACTCCCTCTCCCTTAAATCCAAAATAGCCCTGGGATTTTTATGAAATGTTTTTATTGGTTTTCTCGAATCTGGAATTAGATAGGGATGATAGTTGATAGTTTGTGAGTTGTAAACTTAGAAGGCTTAAGCTATAGGAGTCTCACACATACCAGAATTCAACTCTCATACTCTCTCACACCAGAGCACACTGTCACATTGCTTCAGGAAATTTCCATAAGAGCAGCTATTTGTAAAATATCACACCTAATTTAAATCCAGGTAATTTTGATGTCTTTTGGAAGAAAATGTCCACTCACACACATCTACACCTTCAGACAAAGGACAGAGTTAGTGGGAGGTGGAGTTGAATAACAATTTGCATTCAGGTCTCCCAGATGTCTTCTTTCTTTTATGCACACAGAGAGAGGAATCTGAAGGCAAGTATCTGGGCTGAAGACAGTGAACAACTACTGCCAAGCAGGCCCCAGATGTTAACTTCCTGGTGCTCTCCTCCCCACGGAAGCATGGCCACTCTCTTACCTTAGAACCGATTTCAGTAAGACACTGTGCATTTGGTGCTAGATTCTAGGTCTAATTTATTTTACTCTTGCTGGCCTTCAGGGCCCTAATTTCCACCTGCTTCTAGTGTTCCCACCTCAGTGCACCGCAGCATTAGACACTAGGAGTGGTCTGTCCGTAAAGCAAACTCTTCAGTGAGAGCATCCCTTGGTTTTGTTTACTGAGTAAGCTCTGTGAGATCCTGCAGGGAGTAAAGGGAGTCCCATCCTCACAGAGGGCGTGTCACAATTCAGATTTGATGAAACATAAACTCCCGACTAGTGTTTACCAGAACCCAAATTAATGTTAAAGCCAGTTTGAGGGGGATCTGGAAGCACTTCTGCGTGCACTGAAGGCAGGGCATTCAGTAAGCAGGCAATTCAGGTGTGGGGCTCCTTGGGTATAAGGCAGCAAAAGCCCCATTTATAAATCCTCTATCTTATCATTTAAAGTGCAACAGAACAACACCTAGTTAGACATTTGAAGGGTGAAACAGGTGTGTTAGAAGAATTCCATGTTACAGACAGTAACATACGATTAACCACCGTGGACAGTGTCAAATGTGAGTCTGGTCACCTGGGACCTGTGGAATGAGGCACATGGCATGAACTGTGCTCTTACAGGTGACAGGTACTCAGCACAGTCGCACCTGTCCTCTTGCCCAGCCCTGCTACTTCCTGGCTGCTTACAGGACGCAGGGAAAATAAGGGAAAATGCGATCACTTAACAGTGAAGCTCAATTTTGACAGACTTGAGGGAGAGAGAGAGGTTTAAGGTCCCTTTTTGCTGGGCCACTATGCCAAGTGCTCAATAACCAGAGGTTTGCCAAGCTGTGCTAATCAGGTGGGCAGGAAATCTGGTCTGATTAAGGCAGTGAGCAAGGAAGGGAGGGCTTTGAAACAGGTTCACATTAACCAAGAAAAGGGACTGAGCTGGCGATCGCTACTGGTTCAAGAGAATTGTGGTTATTTACAACACACAGCCCAGGCCTTCTTGGCATCTTCCATTGGCACAAACGTTCGTTAAAAAAATTTGGTAATATGCACAGAGTTTCCATTAAAATAAAAACTTGAAAGATTTTGAGGACTGGAACCAGAGGCTTCATCTGGGAATTATTATCCTCTCTATGGCACACAGAATATGGTCCCAGTTTTTACAAAATATTGCGAGCAGAGTCACAGCAAAGAAGGTGCCGAGGATGTGGAGGCGGCTCTTCATCATGGGCGAGACAAACTTGGCGATGGTGGACACGCACACTAAGATGACGGTCATGAACGCCAGGATGACGTTGATGCATTTCCCCAGGAGGACTTTGGCGTTCACCGTGTCGGTCTGCAGGACCTGCTGCTCCTGCTGGTGGAGCTCCAGCTTGGAAATGCGAGTCTGGCAGGACTCCAAGGCTTCCTGTGGGCAAGAGGGAGAGAGTGGTTGAGATCACTCATGTCTGGGCTCAGGTGGACATGAGCTGCCAGCTCAGTGATGGCTGGCCAGGTGGCTTCGCACGGCTGAACTGACAGTGGTGATGATGATGGTGGTAGACACAAGAGGACGACGACACAAACAAAAGACTCCAGACTCATTTATCCTGTTATTCGTGTTCAGGATGCGCATGTGTGTACGGTCACAAAATACAACACACGAGGAATTGTGGCTGAGTATTTTGACCCCACCTGTATTTAAACAAAGTGCGTAAGGACACTGGCATCTGTTGGTGGCCTCAGGGACAAGCTGGAAGATGGGTGGCGCCCATTTGGGCGATTGACTACCTTCAGCCACAGAGTAGGTGACAACCAGCTGCTAGTCCTTCTCCCCACTACTGAGAACTGCACAGTCCTTCACCCAAACCAGTTGTGCAACATCCAGTGTCTTGACTCCACTGATCCATGTTTCTCTCCCCAGACTCTGGGTCACCAGTCTTGCCTGCAATAAACTTGGGCTAATTTCCTATACTTCTTACTCCCCATGGCAGCCAAAGCAATCTTTGAAAGATACATAGCTGACATCACTCCTCTTCATGAGAGAGTGACACATCCTGAACATGGTCGTTTGAAGCTGGGCATGGACCACGCTCTCCTGTCTCACTTAATGCCGGCCCCCACTGCCTTCACTGCATCCTGGCCATCCTGGCTTCATTTCTGAAAAGGCACATGTCTGGGCCTTTGCACATTCTGTGTGTCCTGCCTTCTCTCTCCCCTGTCAATCTCCCATTCGCCTTTCCGCCTTCACCTTGATTATCGGGTCCTGTCAAAAGCCTTCCCAGACGTGTAGGCCCTTGAGCCCACCTCCCCAATCAAGAGTCAGCAGTTTGGTGAGGACAGACACTGGGCTGATGGCTGTTGCTGTGTTCCCTGGGTGCAGCCAGCGACAGGCAGGCAAGCAGGCAGCACACACTGGCTGAATGTGGAAGAAACAGGTGCGAGTGACTGAATTGGAGGTTTGAGAGAAAAACCCTTCCCCTCTGGAGGAGAAAAGGGCCTAGCCAGAGGCAGTACAATGAGTCCCTTTTAGTTTACTAGGCTGCTGTCTAAAACTCATTTACCAATAGGTGTTTGCTCAATTAAATAAGCCATCCTTTCAGGTTTTGAACAACATAATGGCTCCAACATTGATTTGCTTTTTTCCTGGTGAATAGGCATGAAGGGCCCAAGAACAGAGTTCTCTGTTACTATAGTAACTTCCGATCACACAGGCTACCAACAAAAGGGGTCAATTCACAGTTCTTCACAGTCTAAGTGCAGACTGTCCAGCATCACAAGCATGTGCCCTGGAATCACGTTCCTTCCAAAGACTTGGGTCTGTGGTGTCCTCCCTTTTAGACAGAACAAGATAGCAGATTAACTTCTGAGGAAGATCCATTCAACTTTGACTGGAACGATGCTTTACATATAGAAACAGACTGATCTTGATAGTTCTGTCAAATTTTTTTTATGAAAAGAAAAATCCAAGGAAATTAACTTTGAATTGCAAGGAACTTTAGTCAGAGCATCCACTAAGAGATATTCTGTCCCACAAAAATAAACTTGTTTGTTTTCTTTTTTTTAACCAAGATGCCAGGCCCTCCAAGTGGGTCTGCAAATGGAATGCAACCTCAAGCAAAATGTTCAAAAGACTTTCCATGCAATAAAATTATTTTATTTTTCATCTTTGCCACCACTGTCCCTCCTACCCCCCCCGGGGCCTTTCTCTTTATCGCCCATGCTTTTAACCTCAGAAGCCTCACTCTGCTTACTAATGCCTGATAGTTTTCATTAAGTATTGTTCAGCTCCATAATTTGTAGTTCTTCCTTGGGTCCGTATGTAACTTAACTGGGACAAAGAAAGAAGAAAAGACGATCCTTTCAACACTTTTAATCAGAAATCCAGGGTAAAAACAAAACTCAGTTGCTTAAAAACAATAAGAGCCCCGCATGTCTGTAGGCCATAGCTACCCTCACTTACATTACTCCATCCCCTGCCTACAAGAGTAAAAGGACAGAGAAAAAAAAGTTAAGAAGTACTGCTGAAAGCCCAAAGGAATATGGCTACTCAGCATCATTACAAAGACAATGGCCAGCATTTATTTTTTGGGTGCTTATTATGTGTCAGGGAGAGGCTTTAGCACTGTAAGTATTGCCCCATTAAATCTTCCTGATAGCTTCCTGAAGCACAGTTCATTACCACCCCTGTTTATAGGTGAGCAGCTAAGACCCACAGAGCCAGTAAATGTAGCTCTTTGGACAAGGAAACCCTCCAATCACTCACATAGATGTCCTCCTGAGTACTTCTGAGCTGGAGATGAAACCAGAAAATGCTGAAGTGAACTCTTCTTATTTTTAAGCTCCCCTTGTGAAGTCTGTTCCTTTATCTTATCCTTCTAACGCACAAGTACTTTCTTTACAAAAGGAAGAACAAGGTTAGCCCAAACCATCCCACTAATTAAGAAAACCACATATTCAGACATCTCCTGCCATCCCAGACATGTTCTATTAACACAGAATGTTCTAATATACTGAGCACACTGTTCACCTGGCAACACTTAACATTTAAACTGGTTTTAAACAATGAAACCAGTTGGTGGGGAGGTTAAGCCTCTTAGCCCAGGGCAGGGCAGAAATCCCCCCAAGTGTCTTCGATACCACAGTTTTCAGAGGCAAACATGTCCTACCAGCTCTGGTTCCTAGTGACAACTGGGGTTAGCATAAGCTCAGCTCCCCCCAGAGTAGAACAAAACATGGGCGCCAGAATTCCAGCTCACACAGTGCAGGCATATCTATGCTTCAGTTTTCTTCCTTGTAAAGTAGGGAACAAACTACCAGTGACCCTCAGAGCACTGCCTATAGAGGAAATTTTGTACAAAAGAAGCTGAACGTTTCTTGAATAATACACCATTTTTTGGGTAATCAATGGGCTCATCAATTGATACAGCCATAAGGGAACACAGCTTCGAGGTTCCTCAAAAAATTTAAAAAGCAGACCCACCAAGTGATCCATTAATTCCACGTCTGGGAAGGAAATGAAATCACTATCTCAAAGAGGTCTGTGCCTCCCACCCACCCTCACTGCAGCATTACTTACAATAATGCTCTTGCCTCCAAGACATGGAGGCAATTTATGTGTGTACAGACAAGACAGATGAATGAAGAAAGAAAATATGCTGTACAGTCATGCATCACTTAAGGGAGAGGCTACCTTCTGAGAAGTGTATCACAGGTGATTTCATTACAGTGCGATCCCAGAGTATACACACTTACAAAAACCTGGGTGGTCCCCAGGTTATGCACGGACCATGGCCACGTATGTGGTCCCTCCTCAACGGGAACATCGTTCTAGCACGTGACTGCATATGGGATGGTAGGCAGCCATGGAAAGGATAAAAAGGAACCTTGCAAATTGAAACAACGAAGAAATACTTTGAGGGCATTTTACTATGTGAGGTGTATTAGAAAGAGAGAAAAAATACCATACAAGTTCACTTATCTGTGGAATCTAAAACGGCCAACACAAAGCAGCAGCAAACAGGTTAGTGGCTGGTGGAGGCAGGCAGTGAGAGGTAAGGGACATGGTAAAAGCAATCCACACGGCCTAGGTCTAAGGAAGATAAACACTGAGGATGGACTGTACAGTCTCGTGACCAGAAACAATAATGGTAATGCTGCCTATGTGAAACCTACGAGGTGAATGAGTCTTAAAAGCTCTCATCACGAGAAAACAGGTAACGTAAGGTGATAGGTGTTAACGAAACTCCTTTGGTAATATATTCACATCAAATCATGATTCTGTACACCTCAAACTAATACACAATTACATGTCAATTATATCTCAGTAAAACTGGGCAGGGGAGGGGAGGGACCTTGTTTCCCTGTAGGGCCAGAGCACATGAATGCTGGAACATGCCATTGTTCATCCTGATCCAGTCAGCTCTTCCTTCCATCTAGTCCTGTTATACCCACCCCCTTCAGCCCTGCCTTTTCCAGGACTCTTTGGAAAACCTTGTCCCTAGTCAATTAACCTCTCTGGGCCTAAGTCTCCACCTGAGAAATGGGGGGAGTAACAGGAACCACTTAAAGAGTAGCTGTGAGATGTAACTGGGAAGAAGACACATGTCCAGTGCTTTGCGAGTACCTGGCATGATACACACCCAAGTGCTTAAAATTCTTATAAACCTCTTATTTTACAAATGAGCAGACAGACTTAAGCTTGTCCAGGGCCACACAGCTGCTAGACAGGAGACCCAGAGTGACCTAATGTCAACCCAGTGTTGACATTAAATGGCCAGCTACCAGTCTACCAGTTCAGAGCTTCCTGGGCACATGTCTGAATTTCTGTGGTTCTGAGTCTGTGCCCTGTAAGCTGGCCCTTGTTCAACTGTCTTGAGCTGGTGCAAAGCTGAGCTACTGTCTCTCCACCTAGCAGTCAGATTATTATTATTATGATTTAAAAAATTTATTTATCTGTGCTTACAGAACTGGGGCACAGGCTAGAGGTGTGGGAGTGAGAGGATTCATCAGAGACAGAGTGGGGAACAGAACAGGCAGATCGACAAAGTACACTGCTGAGGGGAACAGTGGGCAGGTCAGGAGAGGTCTGCCGTGCCATATGGGTCAGCTCCCAGGCTGGGGATCGAACTCTTGCTGCAGTGGCTTCTGTGAGCTTCATAGTGTGGTGCTTTAACCCACTGTGCCACCAGGGAGAGCCCTAGCAGTCAGCTTCTTAAAGGCAGGGTCTCTATCATGTCTTAGACATTTTAAAAACTGTCACGGTAAAAGGAAGGGGAAGGTGGAGGTGATGCTTGGGGGGTGATAAATATGTGTTGATTAATTTAGGCAGAAGGTAAACAGTTTAGCCTCCTTACTCAAAAATCAATAACATGAACTGATGGGATCAATAAGGTAGAGAAGAAATGTTTGTGCAGAGAAAGCATTTTACTCCAGTGCCAGAAGATCATACGGGGCTTACTGAGAGGCACTAAAGTTCTTAAAATGAATTGCAGGCTGGGGAGACCCGGTGGGGGTGTCAAACAGTGAGAAGAGAGGCACCTGGATGTCCCGTGACCGCTCGTAGGCCTGGTACGCCACCTTCTCCTCAATGCTGGCCAGCTCCTGTTTCAGGTTGGCTGTCTCGTGCTGATGCAGGTCGGTCAGGTCATGCAGCTGGTCTTCCAGTCGCTCGTACCTTTGCAAAGAGAAGAAGTGACTCTGAACGCTACATTTCAGAGTCCTCTGCAGCAATCCTAGTAGGACATCCTTTTTATCTTACCACCCTGTGCCCCCAGTTTGTTGTCATCCCCTGGCAGACGAGGTTTTCAAAAGAGTCTGGGGAACATGTTGTTGGGTTTATGCTGAATTCCAGCTCTAGAAAGGACTGGTCTCTGCAGTCTTGACACTGTTCCTCACTGCTCAGGTTTAGTGCAAACCAAACCTGGCTTTTCCACCCACATCAGACTAGCGAACTGGCTGGCAGACTGATGACGGACACACCTTTTTGGCTGGCACATTTACCACATGGGTCAGGAGACAGGAGACAGGCGCTGCCCAGGCAAGGCTGCGCTGGAAGCCTGGTGGCCCCTCCCTCCCTCCCTCATGTGCCCCCATGGTGCCTCCCTGCCGACAGTCACAGCTCTCATTCAGAGTCTACGGGGAAAGACCGAACCTCTGCATTCAAGCTAATTATACCATTTCCCAGTGCTAAAATGAACATACTTTCCAGCTTTTGGAACTTAAATGCCAATAAAAAAATCAAATGTATTACAAGTTATCTATGGCGTATCAAGTGGCAGTTCCAAAAGTGTAAGTCTAATGTAGCAGAAATACAAAGACTCCTATTCCAAATCTACTTCAGAGAAGAGGGATTTGTTTTATACTTAAAGTCTTAATAATTTTTTTTTAAAAAAAACAAAACAAGCAGCACAATATGCTTGCTTCAGCCTCAAATGACTTACCACTGCCAGTTTTAGAATGCTTATATTGGTCACTTGGTAGAATCATTTTAAAAAATGAGATAAGAAAACTTACTACAGATTTAATGACTATTATCAGGTAGGACTTCACAGCTGTCCAGTGCTGGTGCCATAAATAGCGTTTTAGAGATCTCTTCAATTAAGCAGAGGAGGGCTAAGTACCAAACATCAATAATAATGTGAAACATGAAAACAAACTACCCTAAATTTACATAAATGGATACTTGTGACTTGGGGTAAAATTTGAATTTAGACAAACTATTTAGATGGAATTAATGTCAATATTATCTGGAAAAGCTGTGACTCAAAAATAGTTCTTATGTGACACAGAAACCCAAATCAGAAAGTTAAAAAAGAAAATACTGTTTCCTAAATCATGAGTTGATAAAAGTCTTGTTTCTAAATTAACATGACATAAAACCAGATATGGATATGAAACAGCATGCAGCTAAATTCTAAATGCAAATGTTAGCATACGGGACAGGCACTCACGGGTTTATCTACATTTTTAGAAGTTAACATACGTTTTGCTCAGAAGCCTTTTGGGGGATCTTTTCATTGAGGAACTGGTGGAATATTACTTCGCACTCAGCCATACACATTTCTTAATAAGCAATAAATACATGTTAGCCTACAAAACACTACAAGATTTAAATTTATACTTGAATCTCAAGTTACTCTTGAAAGCTCTATATTTTGGGTGAAAGGTTGAGTGAGGAAAAGTATAGTACTTATAAAAAAATACCATATAAAGACTAAGATTTATGTACTAAATAAACTGTCTTGGTAGACAATGAAGTCATTTTTTAGTGGCATTTATCATGGAGCAAAATCAAATACAGCTCTACAAATTAATATAATGAGCTTTTTACAAAGCCTATTTAATCAACTTAATAAGCACATAAGTCAGAGACTATATAGAGGTGTGAACAGACCCACACACCTCTTTTTCTATCATTCCAATTTTAGTACATAATGCTGCAGAAGTGAGCACTCAACTATCAAGTTATAAGTCAGAAGTTATAAAACTCAGAATTGCGAAGTATGAGAAGAACTACAGGCTCACAAATGCCAACTTGATGGAAAATGCAACCACCCGCTTATTAGACATTCAAGAAACCTCTGCAGTTAGCAATCACCTGTCTAAAAAGAATTCTAAGAGAACCATCTGAAATACCTGTATCTCTCCTCTTGGAGGGTCTGAGAAATAAAACCATATTCCCTCTTAAATTGCACCTTCAGCGCCTCGATGTCCTCGGCCAGCTGTGCCTGGGTGTCCTTGATCTCCCTCAATTCCTCCAGGATCATGGTGAGCTTCCCCTGGCTGTCCAGGGAGCTAGCGCCCCCGGCCCCGAAGGACTGGTTCCCATTACTGTCCGCGGAGCCGGAAGTGCCGCTCGAACACTCGTCGTCGCTGCCATACTTGGGTTTGTTGACGATGGTGGCACTGCCCCCGTAGGCGCGGGCGCTGGCCTCGGGCCTGAACTCCTCTAGGGAATTTTTTAAGTGAGCGATGTTGTCGGCACTCCCGAACTTATTCCGGATCAAGTTGGCAAACTCTCTGGACTTATTGAAGACAAACACAGGAGGAGTGAGGGATACCCCTGGCATGCCAGATTTGCTGCTCTCCATGCTGTGGGGAGCGGTTCGGGACTTGACGTGGGCATCTTTCAGGGCGTGCTGGATGTCCTTCAGGTTGTCTTTGGAAATGTCCTTTGAGCTTCGGGAGGCTCCATTCTGTTCAATCTCCCTGAGCTTTTTATGGTACTGTTCTAACTTCTTCTGCAGCTGGGCAATGGAGTGAGCTGACTTCTGATTCTTCTTTTCAAAGACTTGTTTGATACGACCAGCCTGCTGCTTGTCAGCACTGCTGACCAGTTTCAGATATTCTGCAACATTCCCATCTCGGGATGTTTGCTCGATTTTTATCTGCTCTGTTACCTTTAGAATTTTTTGTTTGAGGCTGTCCGCATTGAGCTTGACCTTGTGGAAGTCCAGGATGCCATCTGGTACATCAAAGTTAAGGTTGGTGTCTGAACCCCCTCGGCGGATGTTCAGGGGCAGACTCAGGGTGTTCATGTCATGCCGTTCCACCTGAAAGAGCAGAGAAGAGAACTTTAAGATTTGAAATCAAAGAGAAGGTTTACCGTGAGGGAATCTGTGCAGATACAACAGAGATACTTGAACTCCCGGATTTTCTACCCTCAGGATAAAAATCTTTACAACTCTTCTCCAGTTCAATACAGGGTGGCCGAACTTCTCCCTGTATGCATGCAAACTAACTGTGAGATTCAGCTCTCCTAGGGTAGCCAAGCCAATACTGCCTGATTAGATGGTAACTGCTGGTTGTCAGGGCAGATGATTCCAAACAGACCAGTCAGTCCTGGTTTCCCAAAGGGCCCACGTACCTGGAATACCCACCCTGCCCCATGCACAGTGAACTTCATCACTGTGGGAAAGAGCTAATTTTGAACTTAATCATTTAATGGATGAGAACATTTTAAAAAGAAATAAAGGAGTTCAATTTCAGCAGGTACATTCATCAACAGAAGAACATTTTTAATGAAGTCATTAAACAGATATGATAGAATAATATGGCACAAGATTAAATTTAATAGTCAAGTAACATCACAACAATATTTGTTAGCACTGGAAACAACTCCAAGTCACAACCAGTTTGATTAACAAAGACTGATAATACTAAGGCCATAGAAATAGCTTTCTCACCCAGGGGCCATCAGGGGAAAAGAACTGCAGCATGGTATTGAGCATCCTGGCATGGGGTCGGGGGTGTCTGTGGTCTAAACAGAGAAAAGCAAATGGAATCTGTGTGCTATGCACGGTGGATATTCAGAAGGGTTGTCTGGTTTGAGCCCTACTACAACACTGGGCCAAAGAACATGATAAACCTATATAATATGTAGAATCTGAGACTTATGGAATCAGGGTTTATATTTAAATCACCCCAACTCTAGTCTTCTTTCTAATCAGGACATTCTACTCTTAGTATCCTACAGTCTGGAAAGCAACTCCAAACAAATATTCATCCCATCTAGATTGAAGCATCTTCTTATTTGCTTCAATCTTTGAAAAGGTGCCAGAAAACAACCTTTTGATTAGAATAATGCTTTGACTTGCTGTCAAATGGGACAATATATGCGGCACAAGTTATCTTTTTTCGATGCAGGAAGCTCATACTGTCCAAGTGCCCCAGACTCAAATGTGGACCATATCCAACAACAAGGATTACTACTTTGCCACTGGAAACTCCCATCCTGTCTTGCTTCCAGAGGAAGAGCCCAGCAGCAGCACAGTGGACTCAGCTCCTGGTTGGTGAGTCTGGCCTCCTTCACCACTTACACTAGGCTGTTTACATGACCTCTTGGCCCTTCTCCTCCAAGACACCACATTCCTGTCATGAAGAAGAGACATGGGGTGTTTTATCTGGCAGAACCACCTCACCTAGGAAAGGACAGGGAGATGAGAATACCAAAACACTGCAAGAGGAGAAAACAGGCTGTATATAAAAGGACAAAGGAACTGTGACTTCCTGGTCAAGAAGGAGGGCTGGGTATAGGGCCTAAAGAAAGAAGGTGTAATAACCTTTACAAGTCCTGGAGAGATGACCAGAGATGGTCGCAGGAAGGTCAAGGAAACTGCACGGAAGACATCACTGTGGCCCTGAATAGGAGGGGGCTCCAATTACAATAACAGAGAATGCACCAACCCTAGAAAAGTTTATTCTGGGTAGAGAGGACATTAAGGGTAACTGTAATCACAAGTCTGGCAATTTCATTTCTCTGGGGCTATCTGATCTGATTATATGACTCTACTACTCAGCAACTTTCTTTGGTTGCCTAAGTTAAATAATACAACCTGGCCAGCTGAAGGCCCAGTCTTACCTGTTAGGCCTTATCTTGCCCCTGCTAGAGTCCTTCCCTCTTAAGTGAACTGTAAAACCTGAAGTGTCCAGAATGTATGCTGACTGTCTATGGATTTCCTCCTACATATGTATTTACCATATCTATCACCTACCCACTTCAAAATCCCACACAGTCTATAAGATAAATTTCAAATGCTACTTCTTCTATAAAGTTTTCTGAGTGCCGTTAGAAGTGATAAAAGAACAAATGGTGATAACACTAAGTTTGTGTTCTCCTCTTCACAGGAGGCTATCAATAAATGCTTACTGAACACTAAGACAGTCTGCAATGCAGTCATTTGAGACCTACTTTTAATAGAATCAAGAAAAGACCTTGGAAGTTATGTCATATAGACCTGACAATTTCAGGTAGTGATATTTTCCCAATACCTAGATAACTATACATCACTTCAATCAAATGGACATTTTCTTTAACATCTACAAGTGAGGACATTTTAAACGCTAATTGAAATGCACTTGATGCATCGAGTAGAGGCTATTTAATAAGTATAGCACTAGAGGAATTTTCACAAACTGAACACTTGGCACCACCAAGACCCAGATAAGGAAAAGAACAGAATTTCCCCGCATAACACATCCCATTATGCTCTATCACCTCCGCCAGGCACCTGCACCCTCCCTCCCCTAAGCACACATTAGTTTTGTCTACTACACATATGTACTCTTCTTATCTTTTTCTGCTCAACATTGTGTAATTCATTAAGAACATGTTCTTATCCTTCTGGAGCTCAGATAAAATCTAGTAAAGTTATTTTAAATCAACCTACTTGGTATTTTCAATTGAGAAGTCCATACCACCTTTGGAGACAGAGAGGTTTTTAAATCTTACCTTAGTGCACGCAGCAGTAAGTCATCACCCTTCCTTCTACCTTTTATTTTCCAGCCCACTGCAGCCGGCACCCAGCTCAAGTCTCAATACAGTGGCCTCATTCTCTCACCGATTGCTGGGAAGGACGACCTCGCACCCACACAGATGTTTACGCACTGATGACTGGCCGACTCCTGGCCCACTTTAAGTTATAACAATGCTTGGCATGTCCTGCACAGTCCAGGTTGGGAACACAACTGCACTGAAGGCTCCATTCAATCAATCTTGCCGCTCATCAGCAAATCTCAGTTAACAATGTTTGGTGAGGGTGGAAGTTGGAGCTATGGCTGGGCCACACCTTTCAGTCTTTATAGCCCTAGCTCGGCAGGATAATTAAGAGCCAGCTGTACACATCATCGCTAGATGCTCACACATGCCCAAACACAATCTGAAATTTTGTGTACATGTTGGGGAGAAGGCTGTGCGAGCCTGCTGTCCCCCACTTAGTTTGGACCCTGCACCGGTGTAAAGTGTATGGTGCTGGTGTCTGGACTGGGGTGCAGGGAGGAGGACAGTGGTTCACGGATGTCCAGAGCTGATGTGCACATGAACTCTGTGGCTCAGAGACACATGCTCCAGTTCTGGCCCTGAATCTGCCACCTGCATGCTTTCAGGTAAACCAAGTCACTCTGTGGGCTTTGGTTTCCTGCTGCACAGAATCAGGAGACTGAGTCAGACAGGCTGGGGCTAACACTGTACAAGATGCCTTCCCGGCTGCAGTCTGTGAGCAGCATCACAGAACTGTTAAGACCTGGGCCCTGGAGACAGGCTGCTGTGATTTTCATCTTGGCCTCCCTCTTCTGAGCTGGATGCCCCTAAAAAATGACAGCCTTTCCGTGCCTCAATTTCCTCTTCTGAAATATGGAGGTAATGACTTTTGAAAGAGTTGTTGTGAGGGCTAGATAAGACAGCATGAAAAGTGTTTAAGGACTTCCTGGCACAGAGAATGGTTTCCATAAATGTTTGCTATTGTAATTGTCCCAATTTCATTTAAAAATGTACTGTAAAAATTGAAAGAAAAATAAGCTGCAGTGGTAACGGCAGTTATCTTTGTACTCTGTGGTTTTGAGGAACCATTCTATTTGGTTTTCATATTCTTGAAGTTTTAAAACACAATGAACATGTACTACTGTTTTAGCAGACATGATGCTATTTTCAAAAATGACCCTGGGCCTCCTTCAGTTCTCTTGTGATGACCTGGCCATCGTGCTATCACACACAAATTGTGGACCACCAGCGTCTGAGTGCAAAGCCATTTCTAATCATGTTTTCCTTCCGGCAGCAGAAACATTTTCACTGTCACCTCAATGTTCTGGAACAAAGGGCTAAGGAAAGGCCTAAGCTCTAGACAGACGTCAAAACTGACACTGAGTCATCTGTGCAATAATCCCATCCTCCAGGACAAGGCCTTACTCACTGGGATGCCAAGCACAACTCAGTCATCACCAGAACAGCCTGAACACACTGTTCAGGCTTCCAAAGGGGGGCTGCCTCCTATGACATTTTGCATGACACCTGGAGAGCTAAGGGGACTGAGACGTAAGGAGTCCTTGAGGTTCTGAGGGACAGTGAGGGGACTGCCATATCCAGGGACATGGAGCGATCAGACACAGGGACAGATAACCACCTGCTTAGTCAAGGCCAATACAACGGACCTTTGCTTAAAGAAACCCTGCTTGACCCCACTGTACGAGCAGAGAGTAGTGTCCTTTAAACTGGCCTCACATCCCAGGCAACAGTACGTGAGGGTGGTTTTACAGACAGCCCCACAATGGAGATGCAGGCTCCACGTTCAATATTCAAATGTGTTCACAGGCCTTTGTGGCCTACGTGTCCCAGTGGGCAGAGCTGACGTTCTGTGCTCTTGCTCATTTTAGCTGAAATTGAACTTCAGGCTACAGTCAAGGCTGTTCCCAGGGTGTGCCAGTCAGAAGGTGTTAGGCTGGGCCGTGGTAATAAACTTATATAACATCAGCGGTTCAAACTACAAGGTGGATTTACTCATTTTAATAAGTGTGCTGTGCATCAGTGAAGGAACCCAGGCAGTGACACAGCTTGCAGCACGTGGGATGTTGCTGGCAGTCGGGGCAGGAGCAGGGAACGCGCTAAAAACTTTCTGCCCAGACGAGACGCCTGAGACTTCTCCACCCACTGCTTAGGTATCACCGCACTTCAAGGGAGGTTCAGGGCAAGCAGGACAATCCTGCCAGATGTCCAGGAGAAGTTTCATGCCAGTGACACCGACAGTATCTTATTTAATTATTAGAGACACCCGCATA